GACCCTTAACCTTTTCGGATTCCCTTATGCTCCCATTCTAGGTACCTAAGGGGTGAACCCCTAGCAGGGGGTCCGAAGTACCCTAGACCCTAAACCTCTACATAATCCATATATGACCCTACAACATAATACGTTCCATTTTCTTTTCCGTTGTCCAGGGGTCCTAATCATAAAGTAGGGGTCCTAAGTGCAACGTGGCAAACAAACCCTAAAACCCCCAAGCCTAAACCCCTAAACCCCTAGGTGACTAAGGGTTAACCCTTTTTAGGGGTTCTAATTGCCACGTAGTTTATGAATCCAGGCATCGCGACGCCGAGGGACTGGACCAGGCGCGCGCACTCGCGCCCAGGACATTTTGCTGACCGTTGCCTGTAAAAGGGTTTCTACGCATGTATATTTTGGGGCTATATTGGGGGTCCCCCCATTTTGGGAAACTACCATACATATATATATATATACATGTGCATATCACAGCTTGGAAGTCCTTTTATATCATGCGTATATGTCAGGAATTTGGGGTTTATATACTCGTGGCCTACGCTTCGGAGTCTGTATCCTTAGAGGTCCGAATACCCCAAGGTAGGTACTATTTACAAATTTCAGGGTCCAAAGTAGGCATTCTATTTTATAGACTCTACCCTAAACCTTAAGCAGTTCCTGTTTACATGCGATTCGGGTGCTTGAGCCCATACTTTGAGCTTCAGGCTCATAATGACCCTAGGGATCCATGTATGTAAATAATCCCTACATTGGGCCCCAAAGTCTGTAAATATTACCTACATTGGGTTATTTGGATCCCTAGGGTGACATTTTAACCAACCCAACCGTAAGCTCCGTAATATGGTCATAACCCAGCTGGGGAATAACTCGACGTATAATTGGGTGATAGTTACCAGGCCTTTATATAGATAGATACATATGTATTTATACACTGTCTGTAGTCCGCCCAGTTTCCATTTCTTGTTTCTTGTGATTTTCCTTTTTCATTTTCTACTTAGATTAACTACCGGGATTCCGCAGGACAGCCCGGTCGCGTGCGCAGCAGCAGGTGGCAAGAAGAGGCACATAGAAACGGGTAGAACGGTAGAACCCTTTATGGCTTCAGGGGTCAGGGCTTAGGGCTTGGGGTCTAGGGATTTATTCGAGAAAGAGGCTTTTAGGGATCCTATAAGGCGCACATGGTAATTGTAGGGAGGGTTATAGGGGTCCCCTTCGAGACCACATTGGGATCGATTTGAGAAGCTCTTTTTGTCATACGCTGCAGGCTTTGCTTTCATGGCTGGGGTTACACAAAAGCCTGTGCTAATGCGTTTCGTTTTTTGTCTACTAGTTGGCCGCACTAACAGATTACGTTGAATCTCTTCCCTATGCTCGTGCAAGTCAATTCTCTGATCGCACGGGTGAATAGGCAGGAATTTGAGATTATGGATCATAGGGACCATAACCTGTTCGACTCTGGCTGCGTATGGAAAATTCACTCTGGCGAGGGGGAAGGCAGGGCCGTGTATAAATGGGGGAGTAGATGTTTATTTAAAGTTCTTACTCCTGCCAGCAAGTATTATTGTTCGGACTCTTCACTTCTATCTGTTCAAATGACTGTTTGTGTCATTTGTTCGCAGACTATTGTCTTGCCCCTGGATACTTGCTATTGTCATTATCAGGGAGCCCAATACCCCTCAATCGCAGGATATTCTTCAAAGCAAAATGGGGATCCTAGTATGATTCAGCTTGTATTTCAACATCAGAGCATCGAGCTAATCCCTAAACCCTAAGCCCTAAAAGAGGCGCAAGCAAAAAACTAAGCCCTGTACCCTAAACCTTCTGGCGGGTATTGGGCTCTCTGGGTTGTCACAGGTGCCTGGTAATGGGTGGCACCCGCTTCATCGGCTGCTACCTTGTTGCCAAACTCCGGGAGCAGGGCCACGATGTCGTGCTTTGCAACCGCGGTCTCTTGGTTGACTTATATGGGGGACCCTAAGCCCTAAACCCTAAGTCCTGTAGGGTTTGGGGCGAATTGAGCCATAAACCCTTAACCCTAGACCTTGCAGTAGGGTTCAGGGTTTAGGTTTTGGGGGGTCAAGGGTTGTTTCCGAAGTTGGGAGTCCTTGTGGCAGAAGCAACCCCAAGGATCCACATTCTCAACAGGCATTTGCTTACCCCAAAACCAATGCTACACCCTAGACCCTCAACCCGGCATTTAATATATACCGCAATCTCACGTACCCAATCATTGAGTACGTGGAGCCTTGGGGGATTTGGGAGTGGTAGTGTTCAGAGTTGAGGGTCTAGCGTTTAGGGTTTAGGGTTTAGCGTTTAGGGGAGAGATCTGCAAGCAGATGTCCAGTGTATGCCTTAGTTTTGAGGCCCAGGGCTTAGGCCAAGGTTTTGTCCATCTAAACCCTGAGCCTATCTAAACCCGTAACCGTAGCTCCTACTCACGCAGCTGGGCGGCCTATCTGCAATACGAATTCGATGCTGTTATAGCATGGACCTCCCTACCAGGACCCTCCTTGTACCCTTAATTGGGGATATATGGTCCCTAATACTGGGTACTTAGGCCCTTATTGAGGGTAGGAGGAGGGTCTAGGTACATACACTTTGATACACCTTAAGCCCTCAACCCAAAAGCGAGGCAAGACGAATGGCGGCAAGCCAGAACGCCTTCCAGGCGTTAGCGACATGGATTACCAAAAGATGCTGGAAGGCCGATTGCCACACCGTCTGCTGTCTACCCCCTCAAGCTCAGATACCTGGAAATGGGTACCCTCCCCGAACTGAGATTAGATGGAAGCTCAAAAAGAAGTTCATATACAGATGTATAATGAGGGACGCGCACAGCTCAGGGTTTATCCTCCATTAAACAAACATGGGAAGCCCCCAAAGTGCCAATGCATTATAATTAGGTGTGTCATTATGCTGGCGGTCATTATGGAGGGGGATCAGGGACAACTACAGGAATCCACTACTCTATGTCCAGCCATATGAGTACAGAAGTCATGGCTTGGTGCGCTCTTCTCTGCTGCCAGAAGGTTTTGTAGTTCGCTGCATAAGCGCTGCTGCGAATGCTGCGCGCAATGAGATTGAGCACCTGGTTACACTCTACTTAAACCCTAAGCCGGCCTTATGCGCATGTGCCCTTTCCGACGACTGCAGGCGGGACTTGGTACAGCTGAAGATCAGGGGTTCATTGTGAGGGCCCCTAAAAAGTAGATTGTAGCATTTGGGGGTCGATATTAGCGACTCCCCTGCGTAAGCAAAAACACCATAAGGATTCCTACAAAAAGCCGCGCAGGTCTTTTAAACCTGAAGCCGTAAACCCTAAACATTTCCAAAACCTTAAACCTCTCCCTAAACCTTATACTTCAAACTAAACCCTCCCTAAACCCTTAACCCGTTGTTGGCGGAGGTGTGTCGGTCCTCGTTGCCGATCGGAAAGTGCCGGACCAACTCAAAGCGGCTGTGACTGGAGCAGGCAACTTCTGGTCAAATCAAGGTTAAGGGTTGGGTACTGCCCCCCCCCCTCAGTAACAGTTGGATAATAATTACAATATGGTTATATATAGCCCTTAATGGGACCCGTAATATAGACTGTTACTGGCGGGGCAGTACCCAAGCTAAGGATTGTTGTTTAGGTTTCAGGGTTTTAGTAACTTTTCCTGAAAACCCTTTTTACCTATTGTGGTACTGTAGCTGTTCCCGCGAGGGGCAATGACCCAAGGCTTAAAGTTGTAGTTCATGATTTAGGGATTTAGAGTTCAGGATGTAAGGTTAAGGTTTAGACCAGGTAGAGGATCCATGTTGGTCTTGTTTGGGACGGTTCCAGTTGTTGATCCTATCGGGGGCCTGGGCAGAGCTTAGGGTTGTAGTTCATGGGTCCTGAACCCTAAACCTTAAACTTGGCCAGGCAAGTTCGACCTCGTCTTTGACAACAACGCCCCTTGGATCTTGTGGATTTCTGTAGGAGCTTCATAGGCCTTAGGGTTTAGGGTGGGTGCATATTGAAAACAAGTGTCTTCAAAAAAACATGAGCCATAGTCTCAACTGCTGACAGGGGGGCTACATAGGGGATTATATCTGGAAGTATTATTTAGGGACTATTAAGGGGGATACACCAGGAGTTTAGACTGCCTCATGTGTAGGTAAGAGAGTTCAGGGCCCAAGGCTTGCAGGTTCAAGTCCTAGTCGAAGTCATGGGGACTTGTAGGGTTATTCAGTGGTCATCTGAGCTATAATCTAAACTCCTCAAGGGGATTCTATAGGGCAGTATTATGGGGATTAGTTATTAAGGAGGATGCTGGGGTTCAGTGGTCATCTTGGATAACAACACTTTGGAGTTCCTGCAGATTAGCCATGGTAATCAGGATTTTCATGTTTGGTGTCTATATGGGGGGCTATATGGGGGGTTCCCTTGATCATTGAAAGTATTGCTTCACAAAAGCCTGCTACGGAAACCCGTGCAGACAAGCACAAGCAGTGTGTCTAGCTTGCTGGTGGGGTGCGTGTAGGTTATAGGGTCCTAATTTGGGGAATTTGGGTTACCAAAATCCTTTACTAAACGGTTCATGGAGTAGGGCAGAGCTGGTCGGGTTTTCAGCTTATGGTCCCCTGACTCATGTGCCAACAGCAAGATGCCAGAGGGGTGCTGCCTGTCAGTTAGTGGAACCCTAAACCCTAAACCCCACAAATGCTGGCGAGGTGCTGCAGATGTGTACACGCAACCTCCTGAAAGCCCTGCCAAATCGAGAATGATGTCCTAATACGATTCCCCGACAAGTCTCTATACATCCTTGGAAGCACCACAAAGTCTCCCTCAACACCTGATCCTTATATGATCCCTAGATGACACCTACCTAATCCCTGTAGAACCCTTGCTTATTATAGAACCCCTTTACAAAGTCTCAAAGTCAGAAACTGCCAGCAGTGCTAGGTCCGGAAGCTCGCCGAAGTACAGCCACTCGTGGAGGCCGTGCAGGCCAGCGGCGGCTGCGAACAGCTCCTCGCATTTGACCCATAGTCTACACTCCTCAAAGGGGGATATATAGGAGAGTATTATAGGGGTTAGTAAGGGGGATGTTAGGACGAGTTTAGTAGACTATAGCTCATGTAGGGCGTAGGGTGTGCAGAAGGCAGGGTTTAGGGTTTAGGCTTTAGGGTTTCTAGGGGTCCCTGGAGGTTGAAGGTAGTTATAATACAGTTATAAGTTTAAGGTATTTTATAGGGTTTTCATAGGGCTATACAGTATAGAGTTCAGGGTAACTGTTACCCAATACGAACTGCACGTACAAACCGGCAACCAGTTTTTTTGCTCCCAGTAGGTATAAGTAGCGCCATCACCATTATTCTGGATGTCTTCGTTGTACGTGCTGTTCGTGGTGATGGTGCTGTTCGCGGTTGTCGGCTGTGTGAGCAATAAGCTGACTGGAGATCATCCTTGCCGTTGTGCTTGCGCAGCAACAACGGCAGCAAAAAGCCAACACATCCGTTGAACTAGTCATGAGCGGCAAGCCATGGGTGGGAGATCTGCAAAAGTTTCTGAGTCGCAGTCATTGGAGTTTTCTCTACTCTTATTATTGTGGAGCAGAACATCTTGGCCGTTGTTCTGTCATGCTCAGTCATGGCTATGGCTGCTGTGCTTGTTGCTGTCTTCTTGTTGCTTGCTATTGCCTCCTGCATTTTGGTGGTACTCCTTTGGTTCAGGTCTTATCCAGCGTGTATCATGAATCACCAATTTCCGTGGAACCTGACATTCACAAGTATATGAGTACCATGTTGCACTCGTGTATCTTTTCTATGGCTGGCCGTTTAGTTGCCGCGAGTAGTCGTTGTTGCGGTGGCAGTGGCAATGGCGGTGGCGGCGGCGGCGCTGGTGGCAGTTTGGGTTTTAGGTGGTGCTAGTGTTGTTGCTGATGCTGCTGCTGCTGCTGCTGCTGCTGCTGCTGGTGCTATTGCTGGTCTTGGTTCTGGTTGTGGTCGCTAACTCATTCGCAATAGCAGTAACAGCGCAAGGGGTAGTGGTGGTAGAGAAGTAGCAGTAGTTGTTGTAGGAGGATTTGATGTGGCAGTTGCCATTGGTGCATCGGCAGCAATGGAAGCAGGATCTACGATATGTGCACCACTCTTCGAGAGAACAACTGCTCACGACTGTTTGTTGTGTTTTGCCGCAGGTGTAAAGAATGTGGCAGTTAAGGGCTCAGTTCTAAGGATCCCTAAGCCCTAAACCCCTCTAGTGTCATCATCGAGTTGGTGAGCGCGGGATTCTCCAAATCGGGGTGTGCTCCGAATCTGTCCTTGCTCTTACTTTGTAGGTGAGACCAGGAGGTGGATTCGATTTTGGGCTCAGCAGATTGTTGATGGGGAATGATAACCTGGGTTGCTGTTAAGGAACTTGGGTTACTGTACGAAGGAAACCTAAGTATGTATTATATACCCGTATTATCCCAGCTTAGTTTAAGTACCTCCACAGCAACCCAGCTTTTGGATGGTAGCTGGCAGTGTCTATGGCCAAGTAGCTTAGCATGTCAGTAGCTACGACTACACCCCAGAGCTTGAATTTGCAACTTAGTTTAATTCAAACCCAAGGCCGGCTGGCAACAAAAACGCTTGCCGAGGTTCTTCCTCATGAGCTCCGCTGGTGTTTACGGCCCAACGGACGTCCTCCCGCAGCTTTCATGAAAGCAGATGAGGGCGTAGTAGGGTTTAGGGACTTTCCGGGCAAGTCAAAGATTTCCCCGTCATTCCCAACATTATCCTTATTGGATCAGTGCCAGCCGTCAGGCAAGGATCCTCAACTCAAGGTACAGCCCCAACTTTCAAAGTAGAATCCCCAGACATGTCGGGTACGGCGTGAAGGGTTTAGGGCTCAGGTATATTTTTTGTTAGGGGCACGGCCACCGATCTGTACTGCACGGTTCTGCATAGGCGGGGGGTTATGAACAAAGTTGATGGCAGTGCCATTCGGTCATAATGTTCTCAGGAAAACCCCAAAGATGGGGGGAGAAAGTCGTGGCAGAGGCTGGTGTCCTGCGACTCGGCTAAGCGGTATGGTACATGCGTGCGCAGCCCGAAGCCGCGCAAACGCGATGCGGAGGCCTGCGGCCATGAGTTCCCCAACGAAAGCCGTAAAGTGTGCTGGCAGGAGGTAAGGAGGTGTCGCCCAACGCAAGCCCCAGGAAACGCTCGCAAGAAGATCTGGCCGGCGCCAGTGGATCCACCCGGAGCAACCAGAAACACCCACCTGCTCTTTGGCCATGGCGCTCCCCCATCGCAAAACCTCAAACATCCTGTCAGAGCCCTAACCCGGACCCCAGCCTGAGACACCCAAACGCGAACCGAGGCTTAGCGAGCAGAATCCAGGCGACCCCAACTCTCGCCACAAGGAGCGAACGTTGCAAGCGAGCTTTTATTGCTGCTTGATGGCGAGCAGGGGTGGACTGAATAGAGAATGCTAGAGGTATTGCAGTAGAGGAATATGTGGTGCTTTTACAAGGGCTTAGAGTTTGGGGTCCCCATAGTCCCCATTAATGACCACTGTTTCAGGACCTACCTCTCAAAACATCAACGCTCTGATTATGAAATGACTCTTACAGTTGCAGGGTCCTCCTTTTGAGGTTGGGGCCCGGATTACATTACGGCACCTATAATATCTACGGGTCCCAAACTGGGATCCTAATTTGGGGAATAACTACCGTATTACAGGGTCCTCCTTCTTAGACTTTGTAAGGTTGGGGGTAATGTAGACCCGTGATTAATAATAAACCCCCTCCTTCTAAGGGCTTTCAATATTAAGATCCCCATTATAATCTCTACTAAGGGGAGGGGGGTTCATTAATCAGGGACCTAAATTACCCTAAAATATCTTATAATATACCCTATATAATTTACTATAGAATATTAGAATATGATATACTATAATATAATGTACTATCACAGGGTCCTCCTTTTGAGGTTGAGGTTGGGGGTTAGCAAGCAAGCCTTACTCGCTGTCTCCCAGAAGAAAATCCACGTGCGGCTCGAGAGGCTCGAAAATGGACACCCTATTCAGAGTTTCGGGATTCGGATTTAGGGTTTAGGGATTAGGGTTTAGGGACATTACACCGACACAAGCATGCAGAATCAAAAGAAAAGCAAGTGGAACATGAAATGTAAGCTGGACTTATAGGGGTTTATAGGGATAATCACTGATATCACAGGTGCTCAACAGTAAATCTTGGCTTCAGCTTGATATATCCAAATTTGATGGAAGTTCAATAAGGATCCACACATTGTTTCTGCATTCTGAATAACCAGTTTTCCTGTTTACCTTATTTAAGGCCGACAACGCCCAGCCCAAAGTGCTCCAAAATTTGCTCTCTTCCCACCCATTCGGCTATGCGAAGGGCCCATACTAAAGAAAGGTATTTACATTTGACGGAAATCCCCAAGCCCGAATTAAACCCTAAGCTTGACGGACACCGTAGATCCATAAAACTCGGAGCTCGAGAATCCTCCAGCCTTGAACCCCAAACCGCAAGCCCAAAGCTTGAATCCTAAAATCCGAAACCTTGAAAGCCTTCTGTGTTACGGGGGTTGGGAAAAAGTATAACATAAGGGAATAAGGGAAGGTAATTCTGATGTAACCCTTATATATTATTTTGATATATAGGGGTTGTATAACGGTTATCCAAGGGCTATAGTTACGCGAGGGCTATATAAGGGCTATATTCCTTTCTTCCCTACTAAACACCACCATTGGTTTTGAAAGGTGGGTCCTGGTCTCAGGTGGCAGCAAAGAAGAGTTTCCCGCAAGCACACCTATGGAATCTCGCACAATCCTGCTGTACCCCTCATACTCCCCTACTTGGAGGGCCAGGGGGATTTTAATGACTAGATCTAAGTCTACTTATATCTCCTATAAGCCATATAATTGCCCCAGTTATGCCCTACTCTCCGAGAGATATCCATGAGGCCGCAGTATGACCGGCTCGCTCATGTGGGTGGGTTCGAGGGCAACCCTAAACCCTAAAGCCCTAAAGTCACCTCAGGGGTGTAGAATGGGTTATTGGAGCTTCGAGACAACGGGCCCGTGGTAGCGGGCCCTGGGTCTTAAAGCCTAAGTCCTATAAACCTTCAACTAAATGGTATTTTGGGACAATTGAATTTCCTCTATGGTTGTATAAGAGAACCTCTTCATGACCTATTTTGGGTGTCTTTAGGGATACCACCCAGTTAGCCCTAAATTCTAAACCTTCAACCTTAGACCCTAAACCTTCCACTTTAACCCCGAACCCCTAAGCCCTAAACCTTCAACCCAAACCACACTAAGCCCCAAACCTTCAACCCTAAACCCTAAACAGGGCCCCAGGGCCTAAACCTCAGTGAGGAGAAGCTGCAGTGCGAGAATTACCTGGACGCCCAGGGCTTGAACTGGACTTCCATCCGGCCTGTGCCATGGGCTTCAAGGGATTCAAGGGTTTGGGAATCAAGGCTTGGAGGTTCAAGGCTTTGGGTTTGAGGGTTCAGGGCTGGGGGTCTGGGATTCAGGGTTTGGGGTTCCACGGTTTTAGGGTGCAGTTTGAGTCAAGAATTTCGCAACTAATGTAGATCCCTAATTAATAAACCCCTTGCATTTAAGGGCCTTAATATTAGGATCCCTATTATAATCCCTACTCTGGTGGGGTTTCTTAATCAGGGGTCTACATTGTGAAGTTTCCAGGCAGTCAGCTATCGTGAGCAAATGCAACCACCTGATACAATGGCATGCCATAACTGAAGAGCTGTTTGTCCTAGGCCCAGTTTTCCCAAAGGCGAGGCCCTACACCGTCGAACGCCTACACTGCGGAGACTCCTGAGCTCAAATCAGAAAAGTTAGCCGAAGGTGCACATCAAAGCCTTACGTCCTTCACCAGGTAGCTGCGGCCTTTTTGCAAATCTCGAAGCACGCGGGTTTCAAAGTACACTGGTTTTGGGGCTTGGACCCCATGGTTTGGGGTTTATGATATGGGGCTCGGGATGCTGTTACTGGGGTTAAGCCCCAAAGCCTAGGCCCCGACCACCTAGCAGGGTGCTCAAGGTGTACATCTACGGGCCCTTGAATTACAACCCTGTCGAGCGATACTTCTTCGATCGCGTCACGCGGGGGCGGCCGGCTTCCTGCTTGCAATACTTGCAACAAGGAGCCTAGGGTTGACTGTATATAGGATCCAAGCATCAAATCGTTGGGCGCTTGAGAGTCTGGTATGAAGCATTGTCATTAGGCTAGGATTGAGGTCTCTGAGTTTGAGATACCAAGACCGTCAGGGTAGGAGACCCCTGCTTCATACAATCACCTGCAAAGCGGCCTTATTGTAATCTCTGCTTGAACCCGCTTGTGCTTGGAAGCCCAGGGAAGCGAACAGGTGAGTTGACAGGGATGGCTCAGGTAGTAGGGAGAATCGCTTAGATTGCGGGGGTTAATGAGAGAATCTTGTCGTTCTTCCTGGGACACTACAAGCCTAAAACGTCAGTGCTTGACGCGCTTGAACCCAAGAGATGTTGACGAAAACTGGGTAAACATAAAATAAGCGTTAAACCTGGCGGAGTTCTTCCTTTACAAGCTTGCGCTGCTGAAGTCCATTGCCCCAAGTCAGAGTTTGCAAAGAATGGAACTTGAAATTCTATTATGCCTAACAGCCTAGCATCCCGAGACTACAAGAGTTGCTGCGCAGAGGGCTGCTTAGCGTTTAGAAGTTTCGAGTTTAATCCAAGTTGTCTAACTGTAACACTCCTCCTCCTAGAGGCACTGAACCAAGTGCTTCCAACGGGCTAAGGTTTGCGTGCCCTATGATGGAAAGTACATCACGCAGCTGGGCGGCCTATCTGCAATACGAATTCGATGCTGTTATAGCATGGACCTCCCTACCAGGACCTTCCTTGTACCCTTAATTGGGGATAAGTCGTCCCTAATAGTGGGTGCTTAGGCCCTAATAGAGGGTAGGAGGAGGGTCTAGGTATAAAGGTTTCGGAACTAAGGGTTAGGTTGGTTACTGCCCGGACCCTATAGGAGGGGGCACCTGTAGTAGGAACATACTGCTATATCCTCAAGAAGCGTCTTCATAATTGTTATAGGGTGGGCCAGAATCTCCATGTTGTAGTTTACAAGCCCCATTAACAAGCGTGCTGAGTTGTGAGGTGGGAGTTATAAAGCATCATTTACGGAAACCTTTTTGCAGCCGTTATGCTCGCGGGACCTGCGCAATGAAACGTTGCTGCGCATGTGTTTTCAAGCCTGCATCAAAACAGCTTTTGAATTCGGATTACAAGCCCTTCTTGCTGTTGTGCAAGATTTCGAAGGCATAAACCCGAAAACAATCCCCAGCCCCCTTGGCATTACGTAAGACACGCCGTGCCCATAGGCTGCCCTCCGTTTTATCACCCCAAGTATGGCTTGGGTTAGGTAATAGTCATCATTATCCTTTGTGGTCACTATTAGCGGTGTAGGGTTTAGGGTAGTGTCACACCAAACCCTAAACCATTCAGGGTTTGGGTGTTTCAGGGTTTAGGGATGTTTAGGGTATTGCGACCCACAGCCCACAGCTATAGCTTAAGTCAGGTCACTGCGAAGACCTTGCCGACTTCATGATCAAGTGCATTGGCAATCCAGCTGTGCGAGGGCAGGCAGCTGGGCCACAAGGTTTGTAGGGTTTAGGTTTTGGGTTTCGGGCCTAGGACACAGGAGGTTCGGGCTTAGCTACGGCATGGGGACTTTGAAGTATAGATCTTCGGGTTTTCAGCTTACACTCTTTCCGCCATTCTTTTCCTTGGTGTTAGAAATCCAAAAAATCCTTTCGAATAGCAAGGTACCAGCCATGTCATTTTTCCACAATGTTTGGGAACCAAACGGATGATAGAATGGCACGAGGACGCACACACTGTATGTCACTTTCTCCTTTCTATCAGTCGTGGCTTGCAAAACTTGACAGCCCAAAAGTGGTTGCCATCACGGTTGACCCTGTGTTGGTGAAACTTCACAAGCTCGAATGTCTGTGTGTACTGTGAATGACAACAGATATGAACATTCAGCCATGGACCGTCAGATTTGATTGCCCGAGCCCCGCCCCAACCATGAAGTTCAAAAACCCAATCTGAGACGTAAGCCCTACACCCTATAGTCCCCCTTAAGTAGATAGAATATAACTTGGGGTATATTTTAATAAGATCCCCATATACCCCATATTCTATCTACTTAAGGGGGGCTATACCTCAACCAGGTCTACAACGTCTCCAGTGAGGAGTACGTGACTTTCGACGGCATGGCAAAGCTGTGCGCAGAGGCATGCTCTGCCGCTACTTCTTCATGGCTTTAGGGTTTGGAGTTTGGGGTTTTGGGTTTAGGGTTTAGGGTTTGGAGTTTGGGGTATAAGGTTTGGATTGGGTACTGCCCCCACTCAGTATAAGTTGGATAATTTTTGTAATGTAGTTATGTGCAGACCTTAAAAATGACCCCTAGTAGAGACTGTTACTGGGTGGGGGCAGTACCCAAGGTTTGGAGGTCCACGGACTCATAAGCTGGTCATGTGCGAGTTGGCTTGGTTTGCATCACGACAACAGCGATTTGCCTCCAGCTCCGTCCCCCTTTCCGCCTTCAGCTGGGAGCTTCTTGAACTCCATCTGAGCCCTGGACTAAAGTTGCAGTATATTCCTTAAAGGTTCCCCCCTAACACCCCTATACATCCCCCTATAGGTCCCCCCCAAACCTAACTTTAGTCCGTAGCTCATCTGAGCCATAGGCTAAACTCCTAGTATGCCCCTTAATAACCCCTATGGTAGTCTCCTATATAATCACCTATTTGACCCCCTTCAGTTTAGACTGTAGCTTATCTAACATCGTCAAACGCCCAAGTCTCATTCTACAGGCTGCCGGCGTGGCGGAGCCGAAAATCGTCCACTACGATCCCAAGTCGGTAGAAGTGCCAGAAGGAGAAACACATTGTTAAGGGAGGGGGGGGGGTTAAGGGTTAAGGTTAAGTGTTGGGTTTAGGGTTTCTGGTTTAGGGTTCAGGGTTTAGGGTTTATGGGGTTCAGGGTTTAGGATTTAGGTTTTGGGGCGCACCCTAAACCCTAAAGCCTGAACCCTGTTTGATTTTGGGAAACCTCCCTTATGGGGGCCTGGGGCTTGAAGCCAAAAAAATCTCTGCCAGAAAGAATACTTACTCTGGACCCCCAAGTCCAAACATGGTGCCCAAGGGCTTAGGATTTGGGGCTTGGGGCTTAGGGTTTTTGGGGCTTAGGGGTGAGTTTAAGGTTGAGGGTTTGAAGACCCTCCAACCACGAATAGCAACCAAAACCATACGCAGGTTCTCACATTTTCACAGTTGACCACTATTACTTGGTGGGGGCCAACGTCAAGATAGTCCAGAGTCAAAGAAACGAAAAACGATACTTACACAAAGTGTACTGCAAACCCGACGCCCCAAGTTGTACAAACGGAAGCCGGCCAGGATTTCCCAAGGCATTCCCCTTCCGTGGGATGCATTTCTTCGCGTCCATCGAGTGGCTTTGTGAATTGGTTCTGGGTTTTAGGGCTTTGTGTATAAGAAATCATGTTTTGGGGTTTCAGGATGTTCAGGGGTGGGTGCTTCAGGACCTATGGCCTTAGGCTCGGGGCTTTCATGACAACCTCATAGTGTTAGATGTCAAAGTTTCAGGGAGTGTGCGGGAGCAGCTCCGAGACCGCCCTGCCTCCCGAGGCCTTAAACTCTTAAGTAGATTGATGGTTTCGCCAAGACCTTCTCAGCACAAGTTCACTTAAGGGGCTGCCGTATCTGGCATTTTCTCGAAATAGAAGGCCCCGACACAGGGATCGGATTGTGAAGCGGCTAGAAGGCTGATACAGGGGCCGGAAGATTTGCCAAGCAGTTTTCAGGTCCAGTTCAGGCATCCTGTACTATAGTTACAGTAGTTATACATGAAATCCAGAACCATAAAGTAGTACTGTCGGCAACTATTTAGGCCCGGGTCTTAGCAGTAGCGCTTGACACGTACTTGTACAAGTGAGATCCGTCTATGTAATATGTGAGCAGCCTTACTAGCGCAAAGTGGCAAAATTCCAGACTATGGAACCTCTGCCTACTCTCTCCACACTGTGGCCTTGTGAATTCCAAGTGGAACTTTTAATCCCACTTGCCATTTCATGTTCCATGTTCTTTTCCAGTTGATCCTCGGTTACTGGGAAGTCTATGCAAGTACCCAGGAAGGCCAAGCAGGATGTGCCCGACTGGACGCCGAAGTTCAACATGCTCGAGGGCCTTAGGAGAGGGTGCTGCAGATTTGAGCACTTCTGAAAACTAGTGTCTCTGGGTATACCGCGCGAACGGCCATCGTTCAACTTGTGTGGGATTTTGCGACACAGGGAGGTTCCACAAAAAGGGGTCCCACCTGCATCCCCAACATATCATAATTCAGTCCAGCAACAGGGAATCCGAGAAGGGAATCCTAATTTTGAGAACCCTAAAACCCTAAACTCTAAACCCTTCCTCCTTGATACGAACGGGTGCACTCTGCAGCCAAAGCCCAGACGCCTTCACAAGCCTGCTCATGTCAAAAGCCGCTGTCATACCAGCTCAACCAAGTACAAGACCTCTTTCAAAATAGTGTTTCAAATATCGATTGGTACCAAATTGGCCTTGTTTCAGGCGTTTGCAGCCGGTAAAATGAACCCCAAGAGTGTTGCAGAGTCGGAAAATCAGGGATCTAGTCACATCTAATCCTCCTTCGGGAAAATGTAGGTTACAGGAAAACCTTAGTCTAACCAGTACATTTTTGGACACCTAAGCCCCTAATACTTAAGCACTTGGACCCTTGGGTAGAGGGGAGAGTGGGGAAGTGGATCCCTAGAATAATCCCTATTTCTATAACCCTTTATATATCCTGTTATATTCCCCCTTAAGTAGATAGAATATGGGGTATATGGGGATCTCACTATAATATACCCAAAGCCATATTCTGTCTACTTAAGGGGGACTATATAGTTATAGTCCCTATATTCACTCCATCGGTCTCCCTTCAGCACCAGTAAGTTTGTGCTGTTGCAGTTGGTAGACGGGATCGATTGGACCGGTCATGACAAACGATACGTGTGCTGAAACGCATCCGGCTTTTCCTCGTGGTTGTTAGTAGGGAACGCGCCCAATTGTTATACCATCCCCAGCAATATAATGATCCCCATTGTCTTTTCCATTCTTTCATTCCCTCCCTACTACGCCACGAACAACTAGCAGCCTCTGCAGGAGTAGCTTTCAGCAAGACTATCTGGCACGCGGCTTCGACAAGCAACAACCAGAGACTCGTCTCATGAAGACACTGCTCGCGAACACTGCTCAGGGTTGAGGGAGGGGGGGGGACCCAATATAGACCCCCAAATGCTAGAATCCCAACATGGTGCCCTAATCATGGGTACCCCGACTATCCCACTACACTGTACCCCCCTAGGATTCCGCTTAATCCGCGTTATTTAGAGATACTTAGGCTTCAGTCAGGTCAGAAACGCGCGAACCTAGGCGGGGTCGTAAAGGGGGGTAGTAGGGGGACCCGTAATCCAGATAAAGGCAAGTAGGGGACCGGCTTTAACAAACCAACGGGCAAACTTAGCTCAAGCCAGTTTGGGGTTTAATCAAAGACTTTGAGGACGCGCCCTTAGTATTTGTAACCCTAGGTTGTGGGTCCCAAATACCGTTTGTAAGGGCCATATTCCATGGTTTAGGGGCCCAGACCAAGGGTACGAACCCTGAGGGTACAATGGACAACTCCCTGATCTAAGGTTTAGCGTTTGCAGTCTTTGCTTTGGAGCTCCACGCCAGAGAAGAAAACCCTTGTTTGGAGTAATTGGGGCCCAACAAGCAAGGATACAAACCTCAAGGCTACCGGTGGTTAGTAGGGGATAAGGGAATATACTCCCTACGCCATCCCTATACGCGATATGCTCCTATCCGCTACTGAACCCCATTAAGTAAAGTTACAAACATCAAGTCGTCTTGGACCTGACAATTTCCCTTTGGCGCTGTCAGCAGGACACCGCAACAACAAACTTCAAGCCTTTGATCAAGACAGACAACCGACTCAGGGACCCCTCAACCCCTAAACCGCCTAAACCCTTAACCCCTAAAGCCGGGCAACCACACACGAAATGGTATAGATACTTGTGGGAATCCCCAAAACTAGGTTCCCTTTCAAGAGCATATATATAACATATGGTTCAGGGTTTACTTAAACCAAGTTACCATATTGTGGGTCTATAGTAAATGACAGGGTTTCCTCATCAAAGTTAAGTCAATTCAAGTTCTTTAGCAGCAAGCCAGTCTAGGGTGTAGGGCCTCAATCCGAACTGCTCAGCCCTCGTGCGGTATCAGGATTTCCGAACAGATGAGCTGATTCTCTCCAAAGCCATGTCGGCAGCGTAGATTCTGCAGAGCTGTACCACACAATTGCAAAGCCGTGTTTCTGCCTTTTGTAATGTTGTCACTGGTACATGCTGACACCTATTGATGAACACGATAACGAGCAGCCAACAAATTCTCCAGTCTAGTTCTTGAGTGGGCGAGGGGGACTGGAAGCGCAATGTATTCATGTATTCTGCAAATAAGATTGGTCAATTGTTAAGGAGATTGTACGTAATTGCAACACTTCTCCATATATACTCTGCATGGACCGACCCCTACATTGATTGTCTTTTCCAGCAGTTTTGGGGATCCCTTGCCTAAACCCACTCAAGAACAGATCATGCTCCAGTCTCAACCGAGACTTTTAAGGCAGCCTGTCGCAGAAATCTACTATGTGCATTTTGAGTAGAATTTATTTGCTACTAATTTACTACCTTGTACTTCATGATATCCAGCGTGTTGGAATGTCTAGATGTTGTAACCCAGGAGGCCGTGGAAGGGCCTTGGAGCAAAGCTCATTTTGTCGTCATCGCTTGTTGACCTTGCTGCGGACTTGATATCGCCCTAATAGCTGCTACCGGAATCAGTTTCTAAATCGCTCAGTTTAGCTAAGCCTCAGGTAGAAGATGGGCAAAATATCGCGGCCTCGCCCGGCCTCACTCCAAATGATACTTTATGTTTTAGATCACCCAAGACTGGCTTAAGTTCAGACTATGGGATTCTGTCGGAGTAGAGGGTGGGGCTAGAGGATTTCCCTGTTTTCTCTATACAAGCACAGGCTGAGACCTATGTGTTCGGCTAAAATTTGAAAAGCCATTCAGACCAAGCGAGAATGAGATCCATGCATTCAAGCTGCTCACAAATGCTTCATATATGTATAGTATAAATATATATATATATATACATATATGTAATGCCCTTATCACCCTCCCTAGCCCGCCCAAGAATGGACATTTCCCGTTGTATGCGGATATAGTATACTGGAGCATTGATGTATTAGGGTTCGTAGGGGTTTGGTGCCCAGAGACGAGATTGCTAAGATTTTCGCAGCTCAGCTCACATAAAGAAATCTCACAGCGGAATACCCCGGATGATAGCGCGACGCGCCAAGCTCGTTCAGATGTCCATCATTGGTGCTTCATGTAGGAGTGCCCTTGCAGAAGGAGGTTTTTTGAGGCTGTTTGTAAAGGCTTCCATCGCCCCGGCCCATGAAACCAAGTCTTCAGAGGCAAGACAAACCTAAAAGTAAGGACGTAAACCTTGTCTGGAACAGAGACCTTGCAGAATGCACATATTCCTGGCAACGCCAGTATAGCTTCATGGTTTCAATCGAAACAGAGAAGTCTCACCTGATACATGAAAGTCTGTGCCGCGTAGTCCCCCTCAGACTCTTTCAGTGTACGAAATAGCCAGGCAATTGGAAGGTAGACCCGGATGATGTACGACACTCTCCGCTCTGCCTAGCCCAACGGGTCCTACGTATCTTCGTGCTGCAAAGTAGGGCTTCTATATTATGAATTAGTAATATGGCTTGAGATAGGTATCCCCTATAATACTGGTAGTTAGGATCCTTTGGGTAGGTGCAAGTTGGAGCTTTCAAAAATATGGGGCTCTCAATTCAGACCCACAATACTATCGACAATGTTCAAAGGACCCCGCAAGGGACCCCATAGTTTATGGAAACCCAAACCATCTACTGGACCCCTATCTATCCCCACATACTGTGTCAAATGCAGCGCAAGCGTTGTTTTGACATCATGGATCTCATCGCTCTGAGACCAGCACCAGCTGCAAAAGAAGCAAAACGTGGAGCCACAAGGTTTCCAGTTGCAAGGCTTACGGGCGTGGGGTCTGGGGTTACGGTTTGAGGTCGTGTTTAGACCTGGTGAGACTTGGGTTTATGCTTTTTGTTACAGTTTGGGATCCTTACAATTTTTAAAGTCGACTTCGACAGTTCTCCCATGCATTTCCCAACAGGGTCGGTGCAGATCTTGAAAGTCGTCCCCAAGTGGAGCAGGTTACATGTTTGAGAAATCACCAAACCACCCAAAACTGCTAAAGGATCCGCAAGGTGGAACTCGCAAAGTTATTTAATCACTGCACAGGGAAATTTGGGGATTATTGGTAGGTCCTTTGTGTTGGATCCTTTAGGGGGTCTGGGTTAGGTGGACCCCCCACCCAGTAATAGTGATTATATAAGGGATAATAAGGATTGATATAGTAGGGTCCTCTTATATTCCTAATATACCACTATTACAGGGTGGGGGGTCCTCCTAAGGTCTGGGTATAGCCCACTGTCAGGCCGCCCGTTTTGCAACAGCTGTTTTGGTTTTCGCGGCCGTCGGGCTTCGGCCTTGAGTTCTTCTGAGGGACTGTTTCTGTATCAGAAGTTGACCCTAACTAGTTGACGGCTAGGCGGAGGGTGAGTTTAAGAGGAGTCGTCAGCGCTTGTGCTATCTCCGATAATTTACGGTACATGGTTAGACGTTGGGGCCTAAGATTTCGATGCCGTTCCTATTCTGAGCAACAGGCACCGAGGCTTCAGTCTATTACCGCTGTCTCACACAGCTCATGCATAGCATGGGGCTGTGATTGTCTAGTTCAGCTCAAGTCTTCAGACGAAAGTTGCCCCCAACTCATTTCAGTGTTTGGCTCTTGGCAATGGCTGCTGTGAGGGCATGTCTCTCATGAATTGCAGAGCGGCGGGTTGGGACGGCTCCTTTTCAGTGGGCAAAAAGAACAGAAGCAAACAATGAAATAGGGACATCTTAAAGCCCTTTATAGCTAACCCCCAGAAGGTGGTGATACGCTCCCAAAAAACTTACGTTCTTTTTGTTGTTCGGAACTTGTATGATTGATGATTGAGGCCTTCTTCCAGACTTGGACTTGTGAACCCGCTTGCTAGGGTTCAGGGCTCAGGGTCGTTTTGAGTTTAGGGCGCTCTCTCACCAGGCTTTTCCCCAGCCTCAAGAACCTGTCTGGAGTTTCCGTACATAGGAACCCCAATCTAGAACCCCACATACTACACGGATTCTTGTTACAGGGATTTCCCAATAATTAGGGGCCCCCACCAGTTTTCGGGCGCCCTAGCCCTATGTGTCCCTATATATCCCTAAATATATCCCGTTGTATCCCTATATATCTCTCCATATCCTTATATGGTAATTTCGCGGAACAGAGGTGACCCAATGTAGACCCTACAATGCTATAGACCTTTATTATAGGGACCCCAAGAAAGGTGTCCCTGATTTTGGGAACCCCTCTCGAGAACCCCTTTAAGAGGGGCAACATCTCCCATATGTGAGGAAGGCCCTGGATCCTCCATCATCAAGGGAAGCCAGGCGCGGACCACAGGACCACAAAACTGCTGATGCGGGGGCTTAGGGTTCAGGATGTAGGGCTTTGGTAAAATTAGGCGTATTGGGCTCAGGATTTAGAGTTCAAGATTTTTGGGGTTTTGCAGGCTTGTTAGAGGGTTCCTCTTCCTCTTTGGGGGAAGTCTAGAGTTGAAGGAAACGGGCCGGCGGGTGTTGCAAAAATGTGGCCCATGTCTGCAGGTGCGTAAGGTGCGAGCCCACTAAAAGGGGCAAAACAGAAGTGTTGGGGTGTTGGGGCAGGTAGCCATTAGATGTGGATGTTTGTCTTAGGCAGGCTATAAGGGTGGACTTGGATGTTAGGGCAACAACCGTATCATAGTCTCAGCAAGAGGAAGCCTGCACAATAGCACAGACTTCCGAAGTGGTGCAGGACTCCATCGACAGTACTGTATCGTTACAGCATCACCAAACTTGATTGCAAAGTTGGCTCCAT